GACAGGACAAAACACCCACGGAAGACCGCCCTATCACCCCTGAAATGTTGCATTCCGGTTACCGCTGGCGCTCAAGAAAGGACGTCATAACGGATATAGTACGTTAAATTAACATGCTGTGTGCTCAACTGATCAAGACTGGCAACCAGCATGCGACACCAGCGTTTAGATGGTAGACAAACGGATGTCAATAAAGAACCTAGTTTACATCTCATTGGTAATTGTGGCAGTTAATCAAACTCCCTAAACTAAAGTTTCGAATATTAGTCGCCCTGGTTTTTTCGTTAATTTTGCGTTCAAGTTTGTCGAGTGTCCATCACAATGTCCCCACTTCTTCCTCGTAAAAATGGTTTCCAACTAAAACTAAAACGGAAAATCGATGAACAATATCGTCAAATACACCGCAAACACCGTTTAGGTCGCTGCCTCTTACAATTCAGAAGATAAAAATTCTTTGTCAATTTGTCGAAATATAGGTAGCTCGGGGTGTGTTTACTGGTGGCTGATCAGATCGCCGAGCTTGGTAATTGGCTGGCGAACGTTTCGTCCTCAGTCGAGGAGACATCGTCAGTGCGCAGTTGAATGGGTGCTTCCTCCATGCCTAGCTGCGTTTATTTAGTTTCTGAAGAGTATATAGTATCCTGCCACGTGACTGGCTAGTTGGTATATATCTTCTTTTGCATCATTGTAGGGCCGAAAGTGAATTTCGGCCGCGTTGTGGTATGTATACCTCTTATTCCATTGGTTGAATGGCTTCATTTGGGTGCTTCAGGTCTGTTCACAGTTGGTCCGTTCCCGGTTTGCGTTTCGTTGTGGACTTCCTTCACTGAATCTGGTTGGTTGTGACGGTGACTTCTTTTTTGGTAGCCACAACAAAACACAAACTGGAAACGGACCAACTGCAAATAGACCGCGCGTCCAGTCCAGTGTGGATATACTTTAACGCCAAATATGGTGCGTCTTACGACAAGTTTTTCATCATCTTCATAATCATTGGAGCCAAGTATTGGATGCTAAATCATCGTTCGGTGTTTTCAAGCCCAAATCCTAACAGTAAATTTGGCCTAAAAACGAAGTCGTTAAATTAACACCAATAGCGATGTGGCTGGCTAAAGCTTATTTTATTGCTTTTTCCTTTACAGAAACAACATGAATCCTATTTAGAAATGCATGCACAAGCAAGCAGAATTCTATTGGGTGTACTGGCGGAAGCAATTGCTCATAACCTTCTGGTTAGTCTCTCTATGACCTCTTTATTGGTTCCATCTACTTGGCCTGTCGTTGGTTAGGATCTTGTCATGTGACGGTCCAGAACACTGATCCAGGTTTGCAATATTCTTCACTCGACTTTCGTCTTGGACTGAATCTCACTGTGTATCCCGTTTTCAAGGAAAGTCGCGGGATATACATATATAATCTTTATCACGATATGTTCTCCCAGACAGCTACACAGAATATACTTAGTGAGCTCAGTAATTGTGCAAGATTTTGAGTTATTTGTTGTTCACTTTTTTACTTTATTATGGATTTATAAAGTTGCACAAAAAGCTTGCTGAAAGAAACCAAGGTTATTCATCTGTGAGATGGATAATGTTGACCATTGTTCGGGTGGTAGATGGATTCATTTAGTTATACGTGAACCGTCCATCAAGGTACACATTCATTCTCTACAGAGTGGGGGCAAATAGGAGCATTCAGAACTCGAACCAAGTCAGCAGATTTTCAGTAGGTAGAATGATTCGTATACAGGGTTGGGCTTGTTCGTGCCCACCATCTTATTATCTAAATAATTATACTGTGGATATTTCGTCCGGTAAGTGGAGCCAACCCATGCTGAAAAGCCGCGAAGCACTGTGGAGCTGTTTCATCCTTATTGGGAATAATCAGTAGTGTGCAACTCGCTATTAGTAGTTTGAACACTTAACCATTCGACCACGGGCGGTTGATCAGCCGTGTGATTAACTCGCACTTAGACAGGATGTAGCGCAGCTCATCCTTCAATCACGGAATCCACATCAAGCGAATCATAGCGAGAGGTGCGCTGATGATGATTCCCAAAAAGGATGAAACAGCTGTACAGTGCTTCTCGGCTTTTCAGAATAGATTGGCTTGACTTACAGGACAACATCTCTACACACAAAACCCAAGTCCCCTCACATTATATTTGGACTTAACAGTTAGCAGCTTGACTAAGTTCAGCAATCGAGTAAACAACAAGTAAACTGTAAGATACGCCTGAACTCCAAACAATGACCAGTGAAATGATCCAACGAAAGCTATTGTACTCCGGGGAGTGGATCAGATTTTAGGCTAGCGGTCGGTTACCTGTGAAATTAAAGGTATCCTTATGTTCAATTAAATGTTACTTCAATGCTAAATTCATTTTATACAGATTCTGATAAGGGAAGCCAGCAGGTCGCTCAAGGAGATTCTGTCCCCGTTGATATGACCAAAAAATGATAGCGCCTTCTACTGGGGAGAGATAGATGAGATGAGAGACAGAATAAAAATTAGCACCGTTCACTGAAAATTTGCTTTAGGTCGCATCCTAAAAGGTTAACTATTTTAATGAGACATTGTTTTATATTTCGAAATCGAAGCTGTTGCGGTTGAGAAATACCCCAGAGTGCACCACTTTTACCGGTCACAATTTTTACAACCGATAAAATATTGTAGGATAGTCCATAAATTGCCATGGTTTTGAAAATTCCGATAGACTAACTACTGTGGAACATGCAAACGCTGGCGGACAGCTATAATCCACTTTGAGATCGAATACTATATAACATATATATGTGTGATATACTTCCGCTGCTTTCCGTTCCCCGTATCCCGTTAACTTGCCAGTCCATGAAACTATGATTTGGACTGAGTTAGTTCTGTCACTCTTCATAACACCGTGTGCGAATTTTTCAGTTACCCATATTCTCCCATGTGCCATCGAAAGGAAAACAAATGAGCTGCTTTAAAGTCCGGTTCCCTCAGACCCCATTTGTGTTTCGATATTCTTACAGGGAGAGAGCAGGTCATTAAGTAATTGTCCACGTTGTGGATATGTTTTTCTATTTTGTGTGCAGTCATAAAGAAGTTCTGTAGACGATCTATCTACCGTTAAGAATCTGGAGATATATTCACTCACCTGCTCTGCTCAAGATGTATTGTACAATATAGTATATCTACCCATTTGTCTGCTTGCTAGCACTTTTATTTTTCAATACCAGGGCATTGCCAAATACGCGGCCGAACTTCTTCTGCAGTGCGTCGGGGGAACACGTATTGCGGATGCCGCAATTACAACAAGCCTCCTCCATGGATATCAAAGTTGTGCTGCCGCTTGTCGTTCGCGGACTCACTTGGCGTTGGCTACACTTGGACGAAAATTGTTGGGGTCAGGAAGAATAAACAATTTGAGTAGTAAATTCGGTTATGTTGCCAGTGGTGTAGCCAGCCGCACGGAAGTCATTCTTCGCCAACTCATCTGGCTCTGTCCATCCTCTGCTAGTCCTCTCGAGAGTTGGCCCTTTGTTTACGGGTTATGCTCAGGAATGGAGCCAAATTCGTGCGCTGAAGCACTGGCGTGGGCTTCTGGACTTCGAACAACACTGCTCAATTCGCGATTTGCATCGTCAGGTGGCTTATCCGCCGGTCCGGATGATCACTGTTTTGCTATCAGTCCCTGGTCGTGTAACTTGATGCAAACGTTGGTTTCCACTTCCAAGGTTGGTCACTTCTCGTGTCAATCATGAAGCTGACATTTTTTCACACTCTGCACTAAAATTTACGTTTCACTGAACGGAACACCCTAGCCTATACGCACATCCTATAAACGTAACCGTGAAGTCTTTCCAACGAAAGTATTGGTCACAAATGGGGTTCAATGTTTTATGTGTCGGTGACCAAATCAAAGGCTTTTATATCACAGTCTACACTATGGTGCTCCGCGCCTATCTGGGATATTTTCTGGGGATATTTCTTCGAACAAGCGGTTCCACCTTGCTCTATACCTGCCATTTTATCTAACACTTCACCACACGTAACCTATTAAAGGCGTCTCAATCTGTCGCTTGTTAACGAATTGAAATTCTCATATTCTTTTTGGAGCCAAGTACTGTGACCATATCTAAATCAATTTCCAAATGGGGCCATTTAGGCAAGAAAGCTCCGTGTATGATTGTTTTTGAGTGATTTGTGACTCGGTTTAGATAAGTAATTAAGTACGATTCACTACGCAACGTATTTGCCCCGTTTTATGTCACTTCAATGCATCATTCTAAGAAGCAGTGGTTTCGACTTTTCTCCGCTGTTCAGTGCTCTTCGACAGATCCTCCATTGTGCCTAAAAATCACATCGGGTCTCATTAATTTCAAAAAAATCTCAAATATAAATAAATATATGGAAAACAAACTGCTACACCTAGCGAAACAGGGACACCATATAACGCTAAAGGAAACAAAACTCGGCTGTGCAAGAGTTGTTCCCTTTTGACACACTTGCTGATAGAGAACTACAAACCATTCCCAACTCACCGTTGGGATTTAAAGCCTTGTTAGGTATTGCGAATGGCAACAAGTTTATCGCTATGGGTTTGTTAAAATTAGCTTTGTGCGAAGCAGAATTTAGTTGGTTACATCGCACAAGTTTAGAAACTAAAATACCCGGCATAAAGGAGTTATATTCGGTGTTTAAGACTGTGAACTTCGGAGAAAACCCAAAGTGTATTTTGACTTCATGGAATCGTTTATCAGTCTGGTGAACACGACACTCATACTGCACTTCAGTGTATGGCGATTCGACATGATTCTGTTGTGCCATGTTTTGCTCGTATGTGTGCAGCCAATTACAACCTTTTCATGCCTAGCCACGATGCCATTTCATCTCCATCGGGCTTATTGCAGTCACTTGGGACGAAGTCACTATGAAAGGTCTGAAATGACAGAGTGGAGCACTATGTGGAAAAAATACTCAACTGCTCTTTTTCTCGAAAATAACTTCCGTAACTTCAACTCCAGAAGGAAGAAACTTTACAGATGATGAGTTCTTGTAGCGAAAATTCATCTGCCTATTTCATTCTTCTTCCCAAACGATCCCAACGGATTAGCTGTCAAAATGAAATCAAAAATACCCACGACTTGGTCCTAAAAACACCTTGCTTTTCTCTTAGTTCGGTTATTTGTGAAAATGAACCACCAACTCCTTTGATGCTTACGTAAGCTTGGTTTTATAACGCTCAGAAATAACGAGCAAAATCTGATCAGGCCTGTAAGCCTTCTGTTATCCTTATTTGGTATGTCCTCTGAACCAGTAGATGATAGTTCAATCGAAGCTCATTCATTCGTGCACAGGATATTTCTTCGTACTACTTTGACATAGTATTTGGGTAAGCTCAGTGATAACTTGGCAAAACAATTGACGTTTATCATTCCGCGATAAATTCACCTTCGCCTTCTCCAGTCCCCATTCAACTATAACAACACAGCATCTGGACCATCGGAACCTACCAACGATGATCCTCAGAGTGCTTCTGACCAAGCCCACTTTGTGTTACCGGGTTCAAGCGTTAAAGGGTTTCACTAGTCAGGGGAGAACAATTCAACGGGCATCGGAGCTGTCTTAACCGGTCGCAGGGTTGTGCGACCCGTTGTTCATAATAGGCTGGCATTCTGATGGCACACCAATATGGTCTTTCCTCAAGTGAGCCAAGATGACAATATAGCTTTATGGGACAGACAGGTATCAATGTTTTGAATGAACTCTGTATAGCATGGGTGGGCGTTTTCATTGTAAGCGATGAACTTGTGTTTGTTTCAGTGAACAGATAGCTCATACGAAGTGTCTTAAATTTGTATCGTCGCGAGATCTTGC